CCCACTAGCTAGTTGGTGAAAATCAGTATGTGACAAAATAAGTATGTCCAAATTCATAGTATTCATAAAAGACAGAGTAAAAAGTACCCGGATGACCTTCTTCCGGCAAGATTCTGCAGTGTGCATACGATGGACACTTTTCTAACCCATAAGGTCACGCGAGAGGATTTGTGAATGGCAGTGAAGCGGCGCAACCGACGCTGGTAGGTCACATGTCAATGACAACATGGCAACTCTAGTATATCCGAACTACATTCATACTACATGGAACATACTTTTTCTTTTATCAGTCGCAAAGTAAATACTTGCTCCTAAAAAGTACCTACTCAAGAGAGTATACAATCTGCCCTTGCATTTCACAAAAACAAGACATGAATGAAATGTGTAAATGAAAACCTAATAGATAACTATATACTATAAATCAGCACAACTTTTGATTTTAGTGCATCTTCTAAAAAGTTCTCTAAACGTACCTCTGATCCTTCTGAATCTGAAATTCCAGACTGATAAGAAAAAAGTGGATACAACAGAATGCAGACAAAAACATAAATAAACAGAGAAACTAAACAATTAAAACAAAGATACACATAAAAATAAAATGACAAGAACATATGGCAATTAAATGCAGCTGCAATTACACTACAGTTAATTGTTTTGGGTCAGTACGATTCGTTTTTTTATTTTTTAAAGAAACTATAATACTTTTATTCAGCAAGGATGTATTAAATTGGTCAAAAATCACAGTAATTGTGAAACAAGAATTTTACAAGGTTACAATTTTTTAAATAAATGCTGTTCTGAAAAATGCATCATGGTTTCAACAAAAATATTGAGTAGCACTACTGTTTCAACATTTACAATAATAAAAATGTTACTTGTGCACCAAACCAGCAAATTAAAATGATTTCTGAAGAATCATGTGACTGAAGATTGGCGTAAATAAAATAAATAAATAAATAGAAAAATCTTAACAATATTTCACAATCTTACTGTTTTTACTGTATTTTGACCAAATAAATATACCCTTGGTGAAAATAAAAAAAACATCTTTAAAAACAAAACAAAAATTACAAACCTTAACTTTTGACAGATAGTGCAACACTCTGTACTGTCAACAACTTGCTAGTAGGCATATAATATACGGTAATTGCTGCATTGCACCAGTCACTTTGTCACTGCATGTTACTGTCAGCTATTTATAATGATTCACATGTTTGATAAACAGCTTCATAAGGAAGCGCATCAGGTGAGACTAATGCCTGTTTCTCACCTTAGCATCTGATTCATCCGACTAGTAATGAGAAATAAAGAACAAGATGAGTAATAGTGAAAACAAAGAACAAAACATAAAAAGGTGATAGGTAGTAGCAGAAGAATTTTACTGACTCTTTGATTAACACAAAATCTTGCAAAACACCCCCACACACACACACACACACACTTATAGCATCACACACTCCTCTACCAATGTTAAGTGTACAGACCTCATTGCCTTCATCATCAGTGATGGCCTGAGCAAAGGGAGACCAAAAGAAACAGAATTTTGTTTTTGTGTCACCCAGCTTTCAACAAATACGCTCAAACAAGACCACGTTAGCATTTGTATACACACACACACACACACACACACACACACACACACACACACACAAACACAGTTATTGCCTAACTGTAAGAAAGAAATTATAGTTTACAAGGCCAAAATATTATTAAATGTGGCCAAGCACCAAATGAGAGCATCGCAATGAAAACATGAGTAACAAAATCATGATAAATGGTGTTTTTTTTTTTGTTCTTTAAAGCAACACATTTTAATGTCTAAGGGAAAGAAATATTAGTAACACTTTACAATAGGGTCTCTTTGTTAAAATTAGTTAATTCATTAAAGGATTAGATGAAAATTGTCATTTCCTCACACTCATGTCGTTCCAAACAGTAAATACATTGAGATTAGATAAGATTAATAAATGTTGTAGAAGAATTAGTCATTGTTAGGTTATGTTAACTAATTTACAGCATTTAACTAAATGTTAACATAGGAAACATTATTGTAAAGTGACCGGAATATTTATGGGCCAATATAGGTAACTGGAAGTTAATTTGGGACCCTATCCATAAAAGCTCTATCTCTCGACACACCTCCTCATCGTCCTCAGGCTCCTCCTCATTCTCCAGCTGGGAGCAAAAGGAAATATCAAAGTTAGTGTTTCAGGGGTTTTATACTAAGAGAACAACACTACGGAAGACTGAACCATATGGGCAGCACTAAGGTGCAACAACAAGGGCACTGCAACCTAGTGAAAAGGTCTAAATACAACACATAGAAAGGTACAAAATCACACAGAGGATTAGGGTTGGTTCATCTTAAAAATATATCTATTGACCTACCCTCTCTTCCTCAGCAGTAAACTACACACACACACACACACACACAAAAAAAAATGGTTAGCTCAGCTAGGATACGCATTCACCACACACACACAAAATGCATCCAAAAACAGACTGACATCAAAAATGACTCTTAAGCAGATGATTCAACAGAATCTTCAAAAAGGTGTGTAACATATGAATGATAATAAACATTCAATTCATTGCTCACCACAAACAAATCAAGTGCAAAATGCCAGAAGATCCATCTTCATCAAACCAAAAATCCATTTTCATAGACTCAAAAAAGCACACAAAAGCTCACTCTGATGTTAGCATGTTGTTGCTAAACAAACTCCTCAAACCTCGAAGGACAATAAAAATACCCGCAAATACAGGATAAATGAAAGCTGCAAGCAGCATTTAGCGGGGTTCAAGCATTTAAGGCCTTTAAGCACATAAGCATTAAAGACATTTAATTTTATTTAGCAAGCATTTAACCACTGACATAATAGATGGAAAAGACCATTTACAGCCAATACAGGCAATTTACCATAGAAAATATATGGTTTTCAAAGCTTTTTGACAGTTATAGCGCCACCTATGGTCCGATCTCCGTGAAACCTTGCATGCTTCTTCAGCATGTTATGACGCATATGCTCATACATTTTGGTAGTTCTGAGTTTTCTTGATTTAAAGGCTTTTGATAGTATTTTACCAAGCCCATTTTCTAATTGACCATTACAGCCACCCAAATGCAAAAGTTCGACTTTACCCCGACAATTATTGATCTAGAGAGTCCAACAGAATTGTCCTAGACTGGTCTGGTTCCGGGCGAAAAACCAGGGTTCACAAAAGTAGACAAAATTCGACATAGCGGAAATATTTGCTGCCTAAATATACATTTTGTCTGTCTTGAGCCAAGCATCACAGTGGTGTCCTTGATTCTAAGTCAAGCGGTACAGGAGTTATGAGCAATTTAGTTCTTTTGGTTGCTGTAGTGCCACCTATGGGCCAATCGGGGTCATACTCATAATCAGATCTACCATTTGACCATGTTTCGAGTCTCTAGCACTTGCGGTTTGGTCTGCACGATCAGATTTACAAATCGTTACAATTACAATAGGGTTTCAGCACTTCATGCATGAACCCCTAATAAGAGCATTCTGGAACAACCTTATCCATTAACTCTCTCCATCCATTGACTAGTTCTCGCCATTTATGAGAAAACGCTTCATAAATTAGTTATCAGTGTTATACAGTAGGGGGCATTATTAAGCCTCTCCTGAATGAGCATACAGTCTCTCTAGAATCAAAACACAGGCAAAGAAGTAGTAGAAACGAGTGATCTCATATGTGAGCAGATGCATATAAGAATTATGCAATGATAAACAATAAAACAGCATTTCAAAGTGGCCTAATGTTACTAAATAAAATGTCGACCCAGGAAGTGCTACAGGTATGTGAAAGCTTAGTTATTGGACTCCATGTGTGTTTTGATCTAAATCTGATCCAGATGTAGTCTGACAAAAATGCAATTTGCTCATCTTTTTGCTTTTTTTTTTTATGAAACTTACCCACATTCAAGTGTTGATAAAAAAGAATGCATGGCTAGGATTTTGTTTAAAAACAGAGGGTCTGTTCTATCTTTGGACATATTGCATGCTCAGATATGCATTCAGCAAAATATTCTGGGGGCCATTGCATTTTTGTGAAAATTACCAAAAATACTGGCAAAAAAAAAAAAAAAAAAAAAAAAAAAACCCACTGGTGACTAAAGAGTAAGGGATACTTGTGACACTACCATTCAACTTTAGGGTCTTAGTTTGGGGTCAGTAAGACAGTATTATTTTTTTTTTTTTAAGATATTACTACTTTAATTCAGAAAGGATGCATTAAATTGATCAAATGTGACAGTAAATACATTTATAAAGTTACAAAAGTTTCTATTTCTATTCTGTTCTATCAATTCAACAAAGAATCCTAAAAAAGTATCAGTTTCCACAAAAATATTAGGCAAAACACAACCTTTTTTAACATAGATAATATGCATTAAATAATAATAATCAGATAATTTTAGAGTACCATATAAGTATGTTAGAACGATCTCAGAAGGATCAAGTGACACTGAGACTGGAGTAATCTTAGCTATCACAGTAATAAAAATGACATTCTAAAATATATTAAAATGGAAAATTATCATTTTAAAATGAAATATGGTTGTTTTTATTGTATTTTTGATCAAACAAGTTTTGGGGAGCATAAAAGACTTCTTTCAAAAACATCTTATCGTTCCCAAACTTTTGAATAGTAGTGTACATTATAATGCAACATACTTTTGTTCTAAAAAATTAAATAAAAAAAGAACCATTCTATTGGTGCTATTGCTTTTCTCTCACACTGTGTATATATATAATATAAATATCATCAATTTAAAAATACCATAGACCCACCACAGTACTTTATGAAAAGTGTTGCATCTGTAGCAAGTCTATGAAAAAAAAAGCATAAAAATGTTGCCACGGTGACAGTTCACTAAATATTGCAACATAGTTAACCGTAACTTCCATTACTCCTCATCTCCTATTATTATTGGCCCTGTCAGTAGCTGTTATCACTTCATATTTCCTCACCTGTTTGGCCCCCATAGACTCAAACATCTTCTCCAACATCACACGTATCTGTTGAACGTTATTCATCAACACACACGGCTGCGGGAGATGCAGGAGGGAGTGAACAACATAAACATAGAGAAAAAAAACAAGACAAAATTTAGATCTAATTGAACTCTTAACCACACAACATTTTAGCTACAAATATAGTGTTTGACAAGTCTTAACACTTTTATTTGTCAGCACTCACCGTCTTTTCTTTCTCACAAAAGGATGGGAAGCTCTTGGTTAGAATAGCACAATACTGCAGGAGCACTTTGGTTATAGTCTGACAGTGAAAGGGGGAAAAAAATTAAAATAAAAAACAGATATTACACCTAAACATTATGTAGAGTAAATGAACTACACCTCATACTGAGCTGGTAATCTGGAATGGCAGATAAATTAACTTTGTTGTTGAAAACTAATGATTTTTTCATGGGCAGATGCATTAAGCTGCTGTTTTGTTCCCTGAAATAAACCTCAATATGCTGATTACTGAAAAAGTGACATTAAAAATACCATAATTATGACCATGTCAGACAATTACATTTAGTATGTAGTCATGTCCTCTCTAAAATCTAATAAAATGTAAATACATCTAAGCTCCAAGAAAAATTGTGTGGGCTTCAACAAAGATGTCTCTGCATCAGACGTCTATGTTAAATATTAGGGGTGTAACAATATATCGTGGCACAATATATCGCAATACAAAAATGCAACAATACGTATCGTGGACAGTGACAATATGTATCGTGGATAGTTCCCCCAAAATAAAAATTATTGTGTGAGAAAAAAAAAATTACGTTTTCAGAGATTTAGTGTAAGTACTACTACACCCCTATTAAATATGACTCAAACAGATGATGATGGTCTAAAAACCGCTCATATTTTTTTGCCTCCCTTTTACATCTAGTGTCTTTCTGACATTCTCTGCTCCTGGTTTTCACCTTGGCAAAGCGTCGGTTGTACTGGGCGACCACTGCAGGATCAGGACAATCTAGTTTCTTGATGATCTCAAAGCTTTGGTTGAGCTGAGTGAAGATGTCCACGACTGAACAGGAGAACAACGCATGCTCAGATGTCTGCTGGAACTGTGGAAAAGCAAAGAGAGGATCTTTTGAAGATGAAAGTGCCTACTTCTTTAATGTGTCTACTCACAAGGCCCAAACCTGGACATACATACACAACAGAAGTTTTTTTTTCTTTCTAAAAGTCATGAGAAGTCTATGCATTTTAAAGCAGCATTTTATGTATCCTAAATAAACAGAAAGAAACATAATTTTCTTAACTTTACAATACTTGACAAAATTACATTTTGATTGGAAATGATGAAAACATATTCTGTTTAGAAGATATATTAATCTTGATTTTTCTGTTTCCTTCACAGATATCATATTTCAAAATTGATCTTAGACATGCTCTTCTTTTAAAAAGTTTCCCCTAAGTTAACAATTACTTTGAGTAAAAAATAAAGAAATAAAGATTAGGGCAAAATGGTGTAGTGTGGTGGAAATGACACCCCTGTAGGTAAATAAAAAATAATTATAATAATTTTACTCATCAAGGATGCATTAAATTGATAAATTGTGACAGTAAAAAAAAACATCTATAATGTTAAAAATAGATTTTTTTTTCAAATAAATGCTGTTTTTTAAACTTTATTCATCAAGGAACAATAAAAATATGCATCACACTTTTCACAAAAATATTAAGCAACAAAGTTTTTAACACTGATAATTAGAAGAAATGTTTCTTGAGCAACAAATCAGCATATTACACTGATTTCTGAAGAATCATGTGACACTGAAGACTGGAGTAATGATGCCGAAAACTCTGCTTTGCCATCACAGGAATAAATTAAACAAAAAAACATTTTCAAACGTAAATAAAAAAAAAAAAATAGAAAACATCCTGCATCCTTGGTGAGTATAAATTCTTTCAAAAACATGTTTATATATGTATATACATAAAAAATTCCTTCGGAAAGTAGCATTCATTTTAATAAAATTCAACACTCTTACAGGTAGTAGACAGCAGGCAGCAATTTTATTTGACAAACCATGTTTTATATCCTAGACCAACAACCAAGAAGCAATTTATAAGAGAGAAAACCACACAGAAAAGTTAGTTACTGAACCATACCCCCTCTCTTTTATCCCTCTCAAGGGCTCCATGCATAAACTCCATCGACACTTCCTCATTCTCAGCCAGCCACTGGAGAACATATGGCAGAAACCACCTACACATGGGAAATGAAGGAAGAAAAATAGAGAAACAGGAGGAGGAATGAAGCAAAAGGGCAGTAAAGCAGCAAATAGTCAAGAACGTATAAAAGTATTCAGGCCAGACATGCAGTCCATTTGGGACAGTACAGTAGGTGATGACAGAGTGTAAGTAAGAAAATACAACTAGAATAAACTGCAGATTATTTGAAGGAAAAAAAAGAGAAAACTTTAGCCAAAGATGCTCTGAAAGAGAATTAGAAGCAGCGTGACTCACGATGGGTACTCTGGGACAGAGTCAGAGAAGGCAGGCAGGTCACGGATGTATTCATTGTAGAGCCATTTGACTTTGAAATGCAGATTCATGTAGTCCGCACTTTTACACAACCTCAGCTTCTCATGCTCTGGGGAGACAACAAGCATGAGTCGACAGATTTCATTTCATTTTACAGTGTCACGAATTTCCTTCGGTTTCAACATATTAATTCTCCGCTAAGCTATTAACTAAGAATGAACTGCTGTTTCATCCCAGTCTCAAACTGTACTCACTCACAGAGGCTAACGCTAAGAAGATGCACTTCACACACATACACTCCAAATGAAATGTTCGAAGTCAGTAAGATTAAAAAAAAAAAAAAAAAAAATCGTTTTATTCAGCATCAGCAAGGATGCATTAAATAAAAAAAAAATGAATCAACATTTTTTTATTTTACAAAAAATTAAGTCAATTTCAAATTTCTGAACGGTTATTTTAAATTGATATTTAAATACTTATATTTAAATAATTTTAAATACTATTTTGCAATATTACCATTTTTACAGTATTTTCGATTAAATAAATGCAGTCTTGATGAGCAGAAGAGATGTTCAAAACCACAAAAAAATATTACCGACCCCGAACTTTTGAACAGCAGTGTACACGTGGACACACACACTCTCACAGCGACTTAACCGTATGTCTTACCAGCGTAAAAATCAAGTTTGCGAATATGAAATGTGGCAGGAGCTAAAAATGAGAAAAGAAGGCAGGAGAGATGAGAGAGATGAAGAACAATAGAGAAAGAAAGTAAAAAGATGCAGGTGTGCAATAAAAGGGTGGTTTCAAAAGAAAAGGAGGCTGGGATTCAAAAGGAAAAGATGATTTTTTCAGTGAGGTGTCTAACTCCTGTTTACTAGTACTCGAAAGATCTAAAACCAAACTGGGGTTTCTATTCTCTAACTCTGCTGTAGCAATGAGAGAGTGAGGACTTGAAACCAAAAACAGTGTTATAAACCTTTAAAGGGGTCTTATCAACAAAAACAGGATTTGCATCGCTGCTTTGAAATAAAAACCCCGCAATGCAAAGCTCACAGCTTGTCACAATGGGCACATTAACATAACACTGAATATTTGTATTATTATTCAGAACCCAGCACCCAATCGTGTTGACAAAAGGAGGAAGTAGGGTCGATACTATACATAATCACCCAAACTGTGTCAAAGTCATAGAAGCTCTTATTAAAGTATTTGGTAGTGCCAACAATATTGAAATCGCAGCTCATTTGCATGCAAATTCACATTACCTGGTTAATTCAAAGGGTCAACAAACTGGTAGAAAATGTTAATGTGAACTAAACATAATAGACGGGTAATATGGTAAAAAAAACATGTTACAAAAGTGTAGATTATAGCCTCTTAGCATGTAACAGAGTGATGTGATTATCTTGTATCTATATCCAGACATGTAAGACCAAGTTCACACTCTCATGACTCCTTATAATCTTTCACCTTTACCATTCTTCCAATGATCGTGGATGATATGTTTAAGAACTGAAGACAAATAAAAAGGAGAGATTTGGATGTTAGGAGGGTAAACCCAAAGTTCACACAGACACACTTTAAGGGCATACACACTTCCCAGTGTGTCTTAATAAATAGTGTATATTTCTTCATACCTTCTAGTGCATACTTCATGTCCTGTGCGAAGAGACTCCATATGACCTCAGCACTGACTTTCCCTACATTTAGCTCCTGAGGAAACCTGCACAGGACACACCAGGTTAAACATATCAGCTTATGTGTTTGTGTGTGATATCATGTGCATCTGTGCAGTCACTGACTGATTTATGATCGGACTGTAGGAGTTCCTGTCCTCCTCTATGATGGAAACTATCAAGGTGATGAGTTTGGGCCAGAAGTCCAAATTCTGAATGCTTGGTCCTGGCTCTTCTACAGCAGCAGTTTCTTCCTCCTCCTTCGTATCTTCCTCTTCTTCACCCTCTTCTGTCTCTTTCCTTTCTTTTGGTTTCTGTTGAATAGAATAATAGCATGATGGATACAATGATAGACAGACAAATAGAGAGAAAGACCAAAAGATAGAAAGACACACAGACTGACAGAATGATAGATACAGAAGAAGGATAGATAGAATGAAAGAATGAAAGATGGACAGACAGAATGGCAAAGATAGACAACACATACAGTCAGATTAACAGACAGAATGAAAGAGTGACAGACAGAAAGATAGACAGAACAACAGAAAGTCAGAACAACAGACAGGACAGATAAATCGAAGGACAAATAAAATAACAGAATGATAGATAGAACAATAGACATAGAAATAGAGACAGAACGATAGACAGAATGACAGACAGACCAACAAATATAGAAAGAATGGATGGTGTCAGACCAACAAAATGACAAACAGAATGATAAACAGAATGACATTCAGACAGACAACAACAACAAAACTACATGATAGACAGAACCATCTAGACAGACAGACAAACAGATAGATAGATAGATAGATAGATAGATAGATAGATAGATAGATAGACCCATGAGAAATTCAACCTCTGATAATGACATAATCTAATCTGCAAACATACCGTCAAACACAAGTGTAAGCGTTCCCATCTGTGTGTATACAAACACACACCTGCACATGACGTGAATGTGTTTACTCACAGGTTCCACGGCCGTCTGAAACTGTCTGTTGTACAGCTCTTGGCAGTTGTTAAAGATGTACTCATATGTGGAGTTGAGGCATGCTTTCACACAGTCCCTAACCACATGGGCCGCACGCGGGGGAGACTGCAGTTCCAGAACCTGGACACAGGGGGCAGCAGAGAAGACAAACGCATGTCTGAATGTCTATATATAACAATGTAACTCCCGCTAACAAGTGCCATGCTGTCAAATTAATAGTGACTGATCTCGCTAATGAAAGCCCGCACAAAGGCCTCTCTTACAGGACAAAGAAATCAATCTTCATCTCAAACCTTCTATTATCCTTTTCTACTGTATGAACTCAGGCAAACAGAAATGATTGAGAGTTTATTCAAGGCTGAACGAAACACAATTGAATTATTCATCTCTATAGGATCTGTCACTCAATATATGCATTACAAATAAGACCCACATCCCTGTAACTCTCAAATACAGTATTAACAACAAAAAGAGCAATTTAGCATGCCATTCCTTGATAAGATTTAAAGGTACGTTATCATACCTTCAATCTGAAGAATGTAATGCTAGTCAATAAATCCACAGTGGATTTGAGATCTGCTAGACGTGGTTTACTGCTGGCTGGGAAATTATTCTGGAGATGAAAGGGACAGAAAGAACATCACAGGAAGCTTGAGTGAGAAGCTCAATATAACCTTGGAAAGGTAGTAACTTAACAATCATGAACAATGTATCACATAACATATACACAGAGGTTATTGATCAAGTCTATATATCATTATAAAGGGTATACATGCCAACCACTCTCAAATCCAGTTGAAACATAATAAGACCATGACTACATGTGACCAGCTGCATCTTAGACTCCACTTCGTTATTCGAAAATACATGAGATTTATTACAGGGTCACAATAAAAATATATAGTACACATAAAAATATATTTTAGCAACCATTGATTTCATTAGATTATGTCATTTATGTCGATAAAGCAATAATAGAGGAAATGATTAGCACCATTTTCTCTAGTACATTAGAAATTGTTGTACCAATTAGATTAAAAAAGGTTAGAGAGAAAATAAAACAAACGTAAATGGAGCGTAAATGGAAACAAATTAATTTAGAGGTATTTAGAATCGCGTGGAAAGACAGTATGTCACGTTTTAAAAAGGCTCTAAAAGCACCCAGGGCTGAGCATCTCCACAAACTAATAGAAAATAACCAAAATAATCCAAGATTTTTATTTAACACCGTGGCTAGACTAACAAATAAACAGACATCACCTGCATGAAACGGCATCATAGCACAGAAACAGCGCTAATTAAAATTACAAATGATTTTCTTTTAGCTTCTGACCAAGGCTGTATCTCAATATTATTTCTACTTGATCTTATACGCTGCGTTCGACACTATAGATCATAAAATACTCTTGGATCGACTACAAAACTACACTGGTGTTCAGGGACAGGCATTAAGCTGGTTTAGATCGTACCTATTATCAGACCATTACCATTTTGTATTTTCTATGTACACTTCAGAAATGCACTTTCTGTAAAGCAGCTTTAAAACAATATGTATTGTGAAAAGCACTATACAAATACATTTGAATTGAATTTTGTCTGTTTAAAATGGGGAAGACAACGTCAGTAGACTATGGAGTGCCGCAGGGATCGGTGTTAGGCCCTCTGCTATTTTCAATATGCCACTTGGTAATTTTATAAGAAAACATGGAATTAATTTCCACTGTAATGCTGATGAAACTCAATTATATATTTCATCACAACCAGATGAAAACACTAACTCATCTAAATTGACAGAGTGTCTTAAAGATATAAAATGCTGGATGATGTGTAATTTCCAGCTATTAAATTCAGATAAAACTGGGGTATTACTTATTGGTCCAAAAAACTACCCACAAAACCTCTAAACATTAATTAAGAAGCATGTCCTGTTACTTTATCCACTACAGTAAAAGACCTGGGTGTTATACTAAAACCCCAACGTGTCTTTCGAAAATCATATTTCATATGTTACAAGAACAGCCTTTTTCCACCTTAGAAACATCGCTAAGCTACGTAACATGCTATATGTTTCTGACGCAGAAAAGAAGTTCATCCATTCATGACCTCGAGACTAGATTACTGTAATGCTTTATTAGCCGGTTGTCCTGCATCCTCAATAAACAAGCTACAGTTAGTGCAAAATGCATATGCTAGAGTTCTTACTAGGTCAAGAAAATATGATCATATAACACCAACTTTACCATCTCTACACTGGTTACCTATTAAGTTCCGTTTAAATTACAAAGTATTACTTACTGACCTTTAAAGCGCTTTAAAGGTCAGTAGTAATACTTTGTAATTGTCTTTGTAAATGGTCTAGCACCTGTGTATTTAATGGACCCTACAATCCATCACGTTATTTAAGATCACTAAATTCAAAGCTTCTGGTCATTTCTGGGATATCTAAGTCCACTAAAGGCAAGCAGTAATTTGTTTTACACTACACCATGCTAGGCTGCATCCATTGTCCCTGTAGATTAGGCTAAATTAGTGTACATAATGAATACTTACTCTGTATGTTGACAGGTCAATACGGAGAGAGTTATGAAGCTGATCCAGCAGTCTAACAAACCGATCTTTCTGCATTAACAAAGAGAAAGATGACTCAATGGTAAAAGAATTAAACAAACAAAAAAAATGTTTCTTTCTTTCTGTATTTGGTAATGTATTTAGTAATAGAGTCAGAGCAAAAATTAAATTTCCAAAGACCCACAAGGTACGTTTCTGTACGTATCTCCTTCAGAATGAATCTAGACATTGATCCAAGGATATAGAGTGTGTACAAAGACACACGCACACACAAACAAAGACAGTCCAAGCACACCAGAGATAGGGCTTTGAAAAAACCCCGTCTCATGGCAAACCTGAATAGGAATCAAAGGGTCAGGGATGCTGACAATATTTCAGTTATTCACTATGTTGTATCTTTTCAAAAATCCCTTTATCAGCAAGATTCGTTCTGCAGAAAGGTCCGGTACAAGAAAACAAGTAAAGGGATTGTAGCTGTGCACAAATGTAAGTAGATGCATTCATGGTTTGTTAGAGTCAGCATCTTCAGAATATACTCTCAGTGGGTTTGAGATAAAAGGTTTTATGTGACTCTGATTATAGTCACCACCTCTCTGTAATCAAATGTATATGTTTTTAATGCTACATAGATAGTTTTTATGTCACATTTTATGTGCAGAGGTATGAACAGAGGTAATAAGCAACCTCTGTCCTTACAGCTTATAGTGGTGGGGCCATATTGGCTGTGTGCGATGCCGAGATAGCATTACCCCAAAGTTGGAGGCATTGAATCGGTCACAGGCGGAGACGTTGGTCACTGAGGTGGGGTGAGCGTAGAATGCATTGATGTTGGCCAGGAGCGTGCTCATAACCGCAGGGACACCAGAGAGCATGTATTTTAAGGACAGACATGCAAACTGCCTACAGGTGGAGAGACACAGACACCCAGTAAAAAACTGAGAATGCTTTCTACAACAGTTACTGTATGTAATAACAGTAAATGTCACTTTTATAATAATATATAATACGAATTTTCCTTTATTAATTATCAGTATGGACTTGTCATCTCAAACAATAAGTAAGTTCTTTCATTGTGATTCACTGCTTTTCACCAAAACAAGTCTCTCAACTGAATAAACAAAAGACTCATTAATATTCTGTTTGGAATATCAATGTGCACAACTAAACCCAAATATTCAGTCCATTTAAATACCCAATTAGGATTTAAAACTCATATTGTTAAAACTGACTTATTATTGATGGGCATTGATGCGATTACAGAACGCTACCAGCAGACATTTCCTGTCAATAGCAAAGGACCTATAGCTGTCAGAATACACAGAAAACACTCCATGGCTTACGTCATGGCCTGATAGATGGATTCTATCCCATAGCGCATGGCAAACTCATCTACAATATCTTGAGCAATCTCATCAAAGTAGATCTTCCAGGCATCATCTCCACGTGCCACGGGCAACTTCACCACACCCTGCCCTTCAACGTCTGTCACAAAGTGAAAGATATTCTACAAAAAAAAAGAGAGATGGAGAGTGTTTCGCTATAGAAATTATTTTCTGTTTGTTGGGTATAAATACAGTATATTAGAGATTAAATATGTACCATTCAGAAGTTTGGGTTAGTAGGATTATAATATATAAAAACAAAAATCTGGCTGCATTTATTTGATTAAAAATACAGTAAAAACAGTAATATTGTGTAATCATTTAAAATAGGTGAGTGTGTGTGTGTGTATAAATATATATGTGTGTGTTTGTGTTTGTGTGTGTGTGTGTGTGTAATTATATATACACTGACGTTCAAAAGTTTGGGATCGGTAATCAAAGAATCCTGAAAGAAATTTGTACATAACCGTTTTCAACATTGATAATAATAATAAATGTTTCTTGAGCAAATAATCATAATAGAATTATTTCTGAAGCATCATGTCACACTGAAGACTGGAGTAATGTTTTGCATCACAGGAATAAATTACATTTTAAAATATATATATATTTTTTAAATATATTCAAACAGTTCTATTTTGTAATAATTCTGATAATATTAAATTGTAATAATATTTCACAATATTACAGTTTTTTGTATTTTTGATCAAATAAATGCAGCCTTGGTGAGCATACTTCCTTGAAAAAAAAAAAAAAAAAAGTTATATATATATATATATATATATATATATATATATACCGATCCCAAATTTTTGAACAGCAGTGTGTGTAATTTATTCTGGTGATGGAATTTGCCATAATTTATTCTGGTGATGGAATTTGCCATAATTTGCCATATGCCATAACTGCCATAATTACTTCAGCGTCACATGATCATTCTAAAACATACATTCAATATGCCGATTTCGGGCCGAAGAAACTTTTCTTATTATTATCACTGTAAAAAACAGGTTGCTTTTAATGTTTGTGGAAACCATGATACATTTTGTTCTGGGATTCAGGATTTGTTTTAAATAGAAATGTTTTGTCAAAGTCTTTGTCAAGTATATATATATATATATATATATATATATATATATACAACAACCCTGGGTTCTTAAACATTAGTGTACACAGGTATTTGAAATTAAATTTAAAAAGATATTGTAAGTGTTTTACCTCGTGCAGACAGGTGTACTGAACATGATAAGGGGCCACTTTCTCTTCCCCTTTAATTTCCACACTTATTTGCAGTCTAATGGCCCCTGATACCGCTGACTTGTCTGTGCGTTTTTCTGCAGAAATCAGAGATTACACATGGCAATTACACATCTGATATGAAAGTTTCCCAGCATCTGCTTCTAATGGAGACCCTTGGCCACAGCATAGTAGTAGATTTAGATTCGGCAGTAACATTTAATCAATTTTATCATCAAGCGATAATAAACAGTACTTTCAAATTTAAAGCCATCAGACTTAAAGGGATACTCCACCCACAAATGAAACTTCTGTCATCATTTACTCACCCTCAAGTTGTTGCAACTCTGTATGAGTTTCTTTCTTCTGCTGAACACAAAGGAAGATATTTTGAAGAACGATTGGAACGAAACAGTTGTTTGGTACCATTGACTTCCATAGTAGAAACTCATACAGGTTTGAAACTACTTGAGGGTGAGTAAATGAAGACAAAATTTTCATTTTTGGGTGGAGTATCCCTTTAAGATTTAAAAATTAACACCTATCATTTTACTTTTTTTCCCTACAATAAATATTTGACCAGAAACAATTTATTGGTGTAGGAAACCGACTGGGCACAAATGTATTGAGTTCTTATGAAAATCACAACTGAAGAACAACTTTCTCATTTCTGTAATATTATTATGCAAAGAGAGAAGAAGCCTTGTGGCCGTAGTAGTTAAACCATCTGACTGACTGTAAAATGTCCACCACCAAAGTTGGCCATATTAATCATACAAGTTTTCATGAATAGCTTAAAAGTAACATTTTGGCATATTTCATAGTAACGTTTTTAATCTTATATCTAAATTTATACAAATCACTACATTTGATAGTTTGATCTGCTCAGGTTTATTACAACATTAAAAATGAAGTAAGATATATATTATTACAGTTCATATTTTCGGCATGGATCGTCTATGACCTGCACTGAAATCCCAACCCTTAAGAAGACCGATGGTTTAATTTCTGGTGTGACATAATGGAGCCATTCAGTTTTCAGTCCTAATCCCCCTAAGAAAATTAGCACCGTCTAGTCATGGGTTCCCTCTGAGAATTTCTAATGGGTTTTTCCGAATATCCGTTTTAGATTTATGAGGGGAAAAAATAAGGTCCTAATTAGCCTGAATTAAGCAACTTGGAAACAACTTAAAGCAACAAAAAAAGTACACACAGCTTTCAAAATCCTGAAGATGTGGACTGTGATATGACTGTGTAATCTATGTTATAGAATAAAACATGAAATCCCTTTTCCAGTAAATGTTAACTACTAAATCATGAAAGCCCTTTTCCAAGAAATGTTAACAACTAACCAACTATAACAACTATTAAAATCAAAAACAACTATTCAAAAACCCATTCAAAATTCCAGAGGGAACTCACAGTGAGACTTAGAACACACAAGTGCTACTTTCAAAACCCCAGAGAAAAGTTTTTTTTTTCAACATTAAAACACAAATAGACTGAGGAACTTACCAAGGTTATACCAGACGTCCATTTCTCCACTTAGGGTTCGGACCTCGATGATGCTCTGACCCAAAAAGTCATCAGATTCCCTTTTGAGACGCTGCTTCACGCGAGACTTTATATCATCATCCTCATCCCATACGCGCAGTTTAATGCGATCAGATGAATTGTGGCACTCACTGGGGAGGTGATAGAAAACAAATCACAATGGCTCTAAAAGAGATTTATTTTTATATTTGTATTGTATTGGTTCTAAAATTTTAATGACTTTTGCAAAGCCACAGAAATATACTATCTGCACATCTGTGATTTCAACAGTTAATAATTCAATATTTACAGAAGTTGCTAGAATTCTTAAAAACTGCAAACAGTCTTCATTTTAATGAACCAAAGACTATTACTTTTAGAATTGTTTATGGTCATTATAATAAGAAATTAATTCATTTAATAAGCTAAGTATTAGTTATTGCTTTTATAAATTGACACTTTATTAAATAATTATAAGGCACATATTAGAGTGGTTTTACCATTTTTGTCTAACAACAAAACCTGCTATTGTGGCTTATATATTATTCTGCTGCACTATACCATAGAATATTGGTGAATGCAATGCAGTGCTTTCTTCTCATACACATAACTTTTTTTTACACAAAATCGGTCACATTTCACGTTGTCTCAGCTCTGCGAGAAGCTGTCCAAGTAAGAAATCCATTATAAATTACAAGTTTTGCCTTGACTGACTAACTAGCCTGTGGGAGATCACTTTAAAATCTTATATTAATATCTTATTTACTTACTTCTCTCCTAGACTACAAAAAGATAACATAGAGACCAATATATACACAAAAATAATTACATTGAAAATACAAGAAATGATTCCAAAAGAACAAAGAGAAATATTGTAATAGACTCACAAGTTGAACGTCTCCTCCCACACAGGGTTAAGGTTACCGTAGATAGTTTTGGTTCTCTTTTTAGTCTTTCCAACCTGAACGGTCACATACGGATCACTGGAACCAGTTCTGTCTTTAGCCTGCAGGCCCTGAGCACTCACCACTGGAAAAAAACACATGAACACACACAATCTGAAGAATCAGTAAAAATATATAAATTTCAATGCAGGCATAGGACATTATTTAGTAATAGAAATCTGCATTTGCACAATTGTTCCTTGAATATATTGATCATTGAAAGGTGTCTACTTTAAATTTATATGATTACATTATTAGCTAACTGTGTAATTTGTATGTAAATGTTTGATTTTTTTTTTTTTGAAATTTCTGATAATACACCATTCTAAATTGTAATGTGGACAAGCATTTTCTGTAAAGCTGCTTTGAAACAATATGTATTGCGAAAAGCGCTATAATTGTGAATTGAATTCTCTAAACATTTCAATCAAAGCACAGAGCAATCCCAGCTGTCCCTGCTTCCGTACCCGTGATGGAGATTTTGGCAGACCATTTTGATGTTCCGTCAAGCACAGTCTGTTTGATGGTCTTCATCTGCTGAGCATGGTTCAGTTTATTCATACTGAACACGAGCCGTATCATCTCAAAGATTTCAGGCTTGTTCCTCTCTCGGATCTTCATGCGGTCCTTCATGGCTGATATGATATGCTGGGTTCTGTCCTCTGCTCCCGTTTTAGAGCTCTTCTCAGCAGCTCCTAGCAATTGTAGAGATGCGTTTATAATTTAATTGAAATTTAAACATACTAAAAGAGGGAACAAAAACACGTCAAACATACTGCACTATAGTAAAAACGTGAAAATGTTTCTATTGTGTATATTTATTGCAAATTGTATTAACATTAAAGGGATTGTTCACTTTGAAATTAATTTTTGATATGTTTTACCTTACTTCAAGGGCATCCAAGATGTAGGTATCTTTGTTTCCACAGTATTTTTAATTTTGATATTTTTAGGTCAAACCGTTCTTGTCTGTCAGTCATATAATGGAGGTATATGGGGTCCACCTCAAAGAGCATGCACAGAGAAGTCCAAATTAAACATAATTTAATGACTTGTAAATGTAAGTACACATTGATGCCCTAAGACCCGAAACGAGTGGTTTGTGTGAGAAAAAGAACAGTATTTATATCGTTTTTACCTCTTGTAAACACAGCCATGTCCAAGTTATCTAAAGGCATGGGCGCTTCGGTCTGCGCAAGCACTGGAAGTAATCTCTTGCGCGGTTGCGGAAAAAAATCAACGTTGTCTGTTGATATATCGAAATTGTCTTCCATTCCAATTTCCTGTATATCTAAATATGTTTATGTTTCCTGTATGTCTAAATATGCTTCACAGTGAAGGGTAACACTTCTGAAATCCTGTGTAAACAATGAGTGACGTACATGCGTGAGAGATGTTTAGATTCCTGTATATCTAAATATGTTCATGTTTCCTGTATGTCTAAATATGCTTCACAGTGAAGGGTAACACTTCTGAAATCCTGTGTAAACAATGAGTGACGTACATGCGTGAGAGATCTCTTCTGGGGCTTTCCGGCGCTTGCACAGACCGAAGCGCCCTCACCCTCAGATCACTTGGACGTGGCTGTGGTTACACAAGGTAAAAACTACATAAATACCGTTCGTTTTCTCACACAAACCGCTCGTTTCGTGTCTTAGGCCATCAATGTGTACTTACATTTATGAGTCATTAAATCATGTTTAATTTGGACTTCTCTGTGCATGCTCTTTGAGGTGGACCCCATATACCTCCATTATATGACTGACAGACAAGAACGGTTTGACCTAAAAATATCAAAATTGAAAATACTGTGGAAAAAAAGACATCTACATCTTGGATGCCCTTGAAGTAAGCTAAAACAAATTAAAAAATTAATTTCAAAGTGAACTATCTTTTTAAAGGAAAAGTGACATTTAAAAGTTAAAAGTCGTTTTTGTATATTTGAGCATTAGTGTTATTGTATAATCTTATCATATTTCTTACTCATTTTTACAAGCTTTCTGCTCAATTGGTTGGTTACTTTTATTAAAAAGCATCCATCAAAGGCACAGATGTAACATTCATAAGGAATAGTGCAAAGAAATAATACGAATGCATAAACTACTAGCCGTAATGGTTATTTAAGTAGTTTTTTTGTTGTTGTTGTTGCTTGCTTTTCTGTATTTGGTTAGTGACTCACTCTGCAAACAGTCTGCGTTGAGAAGCTCCTGGCATTTTTCGTGGCATTTGACTCCGCACTCTGAGCAGCGCATGCCCTGCCGCGCGATACCCCACAACAAACCCTCACACTCATAACAGTAGGTGGGCGTGGTGGCGGTCCACACTTCAAAGTTATGGGGTGTCGTGCAAGAAATAGGGTAAATCAGAGCCTGGAGGGTCTTCTTGTACACATGATTCTTCTACAGAGAGAGAGAGAAATTGAAAATTTCATGATGATGACATTTCAAAACAAAGCCCAGCTCAAATGTAGGATGTGTTGAAATGAAAAGACAGGAAGCTGTTACGAATGGTTCAAACTGAAAATGGGGAAATAAGGAAAAATAGCAGGTAAGTGTAAGAGCCCAAGAAATGCTTTATAAATATTGGTGTACGTGTAGTTATGGAAGTGGGCAGACAGGTGTCAAAGTGATGACCAACTGAGAGCCACATCACACATCTTTCTCTACATAAGGTGTAGGTGTACACCCACACAAACATTCATCAATTCGAAGCATCTGAAGGGTAACTTTAAATTTTGATATAAGACTAGAAAAATTGAAACTAGAAACGAAAACTAGAGCATTTTAATTCTGTCAACAATTACTCCGTTATCATAATGACCCTTGTGTCGTTCAGAACCACACAATGCCATACAATGAAAGTGAAAGGGGACAGATGCTGTCAAGCTCTATTAAATGGCATAAAAAGAGAAAAACCATGAATGTGGTACAGTAGTTCTACTTCTGAAAGACTACAAGTCTGCTGAAGATTATATTTATTTTAATTCTTTATTTCTTAATTCCATATCAGCACCAAAGAAATCCCCCCCAAAAAATCTGCTGGGAACTTTTAAAGACACATGCTACAAATTAAATAATTATTTACGGAAAATCTTTGTCAACTCATTACATTGTTATTAGTCATGAAATATGTGCATGATATTGATCATAGATGGTGTGAATCATGTCTTTTCAATGAATACTGACATACATTTCTGTTTTTTTCTTTTTGCTATTTCTTTAAAGTCAGCATGACATGAAAATTCACCCTCTCTATTTTCTAAATACTTGTTATTTGACTTCCCTCTAGTTTTGTAAAAAAGGACCTTTGCATTCATTTAGTCAGCTTAAACCCCGCCCCTTTCTCACAATCTAATTCAAGCTGTCAATTACATCTATGCCATCCAATCAACAATCAATGGATGGATAGAAGTAGAACACTTTTTTTCACCTAGATGTACGTCACACAATACCAAAGAAAAGATATGTCACTACTTCCATATCATTGCAACTTTAACAATTGGGTTGAAAGAAGCAATTTAAAAAGGAGAGAAGCAGATAAATGACTGATGTTTGTGTATTTGCAAGTCTTACCAGTTCTTCATCCTTCACTGAAGAGCGCGCAGATAATGCACGTGAGATCCCAGCTTTCCTGGACTGTACCAGAGACTGAGAGAAGGGAACAATGGTTGAATATGAATTAATAATAGTAGTACTTATTATACCATTATGGGTCTGTGACTTTATTTGTGATTCCCTAATGGGTTTAGCAACATTTTCTGTAATTTTTACACCTGGTAAATGTTCATGCCTGTACATCCAAACTACCTGACTTTTAATAGGCTAAACACCATTTACCCATTAATGGCACCGTGTCTACTTAAGAAGCTTTTAGCATTTCATTTCTAACCTCTTAAAACATGCTGAAAAAATATCAACGATTGTTTCATAGTTAAAGGCAGACAAATACTCCAAAGATTGATTTTCCACAGGAACAGAGATAAGAGCACAATTTAGCCTCTCATAGCTAATGACAAAGATTCAACACAAGCAAATGGTTGGCTTTATATTTTCCCTGGCCATCAATTGCTCAGCTAGTCAACCGTGAGTGGTACAGGGTGAGTGAGGGGGCTGGCAGGTCAAAGCTGAGGTTCAGTCATTTAAAAAGGCTTGAAAGCTAAATAGTAGGATCGATACTACATTGCCATGCCATGTCCAGTTGCATTGTCATAAAAACTAATAAAAAAATATCATTATTTTAGCATTATTTATAAAATTATATTTATCATCTGTCTGGACTGGAGCAAGTAAATTGTAATCAGAATCAAGTATTCCAGAGTTGTGCAATAACCTTTGTTTATATTCATCTTAATCACCCTTTACATAAAAGAAGCCTTCGTTGCCATGAAAACTGTGTGCAAGTCAAAAGCTTCAGATCAAGCCTGTTTTTATTTTGCATTTCTTCTTTTTTGTCCCCTCTGCAGTCTGAATCGGTGTGGGTTTCGATTTTATAGTGTAGCAACAAAGACTGATTGATGAAAGTCCCCAGTTTCTGACTCACAGACATGTCAGTGAACTGGAGAAGACAAACTCTTCAAATACTCCTCAAGTCAACAGTATGCACACTCGCCTGGTTTTTAATGCACCAGTCGCATATGATGTCCCTCTTCAAGGGTGAAGAGAAGACATTCAATTACAAGTTTACATAGACACATGTACATGGACGCCAAAATTATAATCTAAAACAGACCACTTGTAATATCAACCCTTCTGAGGCAGGATGTCATGTGCTCATGCATTGGTGATATAGTATACTGCTCATTTCAATCACGAGTTGAGATGGTAAATCAAAGGTGATGGCATCACAGACTGAAAATGAGCATAGAACAATTTTTTGACAGTCTGAGGTTTAACATTATATTTTTTCGCCTTGTGAAATGCATAAAACACTTTCGCCTTCAGTGTGGACAGACAAATTGCTGGTCACTGGAATCACAACATGTTTGACTAGGACGCAATCTTATAGCTAAAATAACATAATACACCTAAAATGTTGTAAATATATGCCTGACTGTTGTTTTTAAGTCTGCTTTGAGTAAAAGCTGAAACATGTAAACCTTGAATTGTGAAGCATTCTCTAATAGAAAAGGTGTACTTACCATTGCCTGGTAGTGAAGGAAAGCATTAAGAAAATGCAAAAAGAAGATCAGAATTCACTTAACATTTTAGGTTAGGTTAGATAAGATATATTAAAATAATAAAAGAGTTAGATTACAATAAGTCAACTCTGCATATACCCAATATATATAGAAAAATTACTAACAATTGTAGCAAAATGTTGGGTGTATGGGTGGAGCTGTGGAAAATGAACAATAGAAATTACATCACTCACCACTTCGCTAACCAAGGGGATAGGCTTTCTCTTCCTAAGGTCAGGCATGCTGTCAATGCCAAATATTCCACCTCCCCTGAAAATAAAAAATATGGATATTCCAGTAAAAATTGGTGAACAGCTAAACAACAACATGGTTCGAACAGTGAAAGAAAATGAGCAAGAGTTCATACCCAGGTTTGGCCCATGGATGTTTGTTATGGTCTCCATTGATATTCTAAAAGGTTGATCACATTATCATGTATTAAAACAAATATAAAATATTAAAGCTTCACATATAGGCAACAAAAACAGCACATGGGAAACAGGGTGAAAAGGGAATAGTGAATGCCCTGCTGTTTGGTTGATTGAATTTCACCACTATATTCGTGACTATCAGAATTTTACACTCATTTGAAAATTTCTAGTCAAGACAGGACGAGACAATCTCTAAAGCACAATTCCTGTCTACTGTATATCTAACACAGAGAAAAGTACTTTTGCTTTTGATGCAAGATAAATACAGAAAGATGCAGACTTATCTTGAAAATAAAAATGAAAAGCAATCATACCAAAATTAATAACATGAATTTAATGAATAAAATAAATTACATGTTTTATAACAATTAAATAATTTTAAGTAATATAGAATTAGGACAAATTATTATTGAATGTTATTCATACCACCTCTGTGCTATAATAAAAAAAATCTAAAAACAATTATCTCAACTCATCATTTGTCAAAAGACTACATTTCTTCCTCAAAAATACCAATAATTGTTGATATAGTTGCAACAGAATCATTCAATTCCTAACACAAACCCATCCCAGATGCCAAACCCCTCCAAACAAAAGGGTTGATGGAAGAAAACCATTGCTATAAAACTCTGACTCAGCAACTCTAGGAATAGGCCTTAAATGTATCTGCCATCACAGTTTCTATTTTATATGGTATAACCGGGAGCGATACTTTAATGAGCTACAATCAATAACACAGTCTGAAAATGTGTGTCTGTAATTGTGTTTACAATGCAGCATAGCTTACAATAGAGAACAAGGCCTGATTTAAACAAAATAATAAAAAAAAACAGACAAGTAATTTAACACAATGCGGTAAATAAACAAATTAGTCCATTATCACCATACTTTAAAGACCTTTAAACCACATTATTAATCTTTAGCACAGTGAACATAAAACATCAAGATACTTTTTAAACAATGTGAAAGATATAACCTGATCTTCATCCTGGCTTCCATCTGAAAATAACAACAAATAGCACATCAAGCTGTAACATAATTGTTAGCCAGAACCAGACATATATTAGAAAGCATATAAACTTCTTGTCCAAGAACATATTTATATCTGCGGACAGGGATCTTAATAACCTTGTTTAAAAAATATGGACCGGGAATATGAACTGCAGAACTGTGGTGATTTTGCAATGGATCTAGACAGTTCATGAAAGTTTCATTGAGAAGTTTTATTCATTTATAACAGCTCCTAAATTTTCCATGCACTCTGCTTTAATGTCAGATCTGTTTTCACTTCAGTTCAATGAGTGTACTGTATTTAGTTTGTTTGAGCCTGGGGAACAAGACTAGTGTAACACCCAGAAGGGCGCTTACTAATATATCTGCAGAAAAGGACCACTGGCTACAAGAGTCAGCAGTTTCTGATATTTTACATCGGGGAAGGAAAAGAGTAGCATTTAAATATTGCACACTATCTGTGAGACCTGTTTTATGTGCACAGCCATGGTCATCAGAATTATTTACTTTCCATTTCTGACAAGGAATTTTATGAGAGAGTTCACAGAAACCCTACAAATGTTTAACTTTTAGCCAGAAACTTATCCCAATAAAACAGAACAATGAATGTGAAGCAAAGGGCCTCAATATACCTGGGTTCAAATCATCTTCAGAAAATGCTGACATGGACACTATACTGAGTTGTCTTCTGGACTCTCTCTTCTCCCTCAGAATCTGCTGGAAAGTCCTGAGGCACTTCAGATGGCGTGCATCCCGCTGACTAAGCTCTGCTTCGCTACCTCCTTCTGTGAAGGACTCCGTGGGAGGCTTGGTTTCCCCCATTAGTGTTCTTTGCCCCTCCTCAACTGCTAGTTCCTCTGGGGAAAAGGAGTCTTGGATAATGTCTGTAGAGAAGCTTTGTGTTAAATGAGCACTGGTTTGATGTCCATATGTAGCATCTGATGCATTACTGGTGGATGAGTCTAACCCTGGAGAATTTGGATGAACTGAATCTTCAATATTATGCTGGTGAGGAGGTGATTCAGGTTTTGCTTTGGTGGGGATGCATTGAGGTATCTCGGCGAACCCTTTCTCAGTACTGACGGCTTGAGGCCACTCTGAATAGTTGGTTTCTGTTTGTGGAGTCCCCATCTCTATATGAGGCATCTCTAAATTTGGTGTTCCAATCACCATCATTCCTTGTTGCTTCCCACACAGAGGGATCGGTGAATGGACTTCAATCTTTTCTCCTGGCAAAGTAGCACTAGTTCCATCCTTCTTCTTCAGAGCTCCACGTAAGGCAGTTTTGAAGTCAAGAACTGCTCTGCCAAACTTTTTTACATTTAATGTCACATTACTGTCATCAGCAGAGTCAGGCTTCCAATCGGGGACATTTTGGTTACATAATGACGTATACTCACTTAGAAGGCCCCTGGATGGCTCAACAAACACACTTTCTATGGACTCACTTTTTAATGGAAGCTTTACAAGGCAATTTTCAGAAGAAGATACATGATGAATGTCTTTCTGATACACAGAACACTGAGGACATTCACCATCTCCTTTGCAATTATGGGAGACCAAACCAGGTTCTTCATGGAGCATTTCTGCATCATACTGCTTCCAATCCTCTCTACTGCACGTTCTAGCAGGAGAGTTGTAGTGTCTATCAGATACTATGGATATTTGATCTGAGGTGCCCATTGTACAAGTTTTTACAGCTCTTGATTGGTCCCAGCGGTTTACCTCACCTGTGCAGCACTCTGCCTCTTCAAAACTGCTTTGTCTGGAGCAAGAATCATCTTCGGTCAATCCAATCTCTCCACTCCCACTGCGTTTTAAAGCCACTGGGTTCCAGGACTGGCATTCACACCCTGTATTGCCCTGTCCAGAGGTGGGTTTTTCTGGATCAGACTCGGACTTGGAACTCTGACCCGAAGATGGAGAACTGGTGCTTGGACAGTCCTGTCCATCCTGGCGCTCAAGGAAACCAAAGCTAAGCTTCCTTCTCCATGCATATTGAGATACATCTGACCTTTGATCAGATGCATTGTGGTTTGAAGCCTTGGCACTAGTGAAAGTGGATTGCTGTGGTAGCTCTTTGTGTTTCCCATCAAAAACTTGATATTGCGGGGGTATATCACCACAGCTACTTGAGGATTCAACAGCGTAAGGCTTATTGTAGCCTATACTAACAGTTTTATTTGATTTGTGATGGTGGGAGGGACCGTCAGTGCCACCCATTGTGCCTGGCCAAGTCTCCACACCAGATTTCTTTCCAGACCGCATGCATTCAATCTCCATTAAAACGGCATCTACACAGCTAGATACCTCTTCAACAGAACCACGAACAGATGACAAGTACTCCCTCAAGTCTGAAATCTCCTCTTGTATTTTGTTGATCCCTTGCAATTCCTTTAGTATGTGCTCAACTATAGGACTCGATTCTTCCTCCTGATGGTCCTCATTATTTCCCTTCACAACTTCATCCTGCACTGTCATATTAAACCTGCACAGGAGAGTGTCTGTCTGTCTTTTAGGCTCACCACCAGATGAAAACTCAGTCCCATTTAGATCTTGCGACATTTGGCTTTGAACCACTGCCAAATTACTGTTGTGCTGCAAAGTGCAAGGAATCCTGATGCCTCCTTCTCGATTAAGTACCACTTCCCCTACGCAAGGTGCCTCAGAAACTTCTCCCAGCCCATGTCCATTTGGCACCTGAGGCGAGCAGCAGTCCTCTACCGAAGCTAATCCTCTCCCGTAGTAGTTCTGCAACTTTTCAACATCATCTTCACCCTCTTCATCCTCTTCTTCAATTCCAGCATAGTAAAGACCAGAAGGCTGGACAGTATGATCTGTAGACCCCTGCAAGAAACGATTAATTTTCCCACGCAACACCAGAGCAACTCTGGGATTAGGCTGCCTCCTCTTTGGCACTGAATTTTTTTTTTTGGGCCGGGGATACTGAGGGACGCCCGTGCCATCCTGTCTATTGCAGCGATTGCGAGAGAACATCGCTTCCCCTCCCTTCTTCTGTGCTGTGGAGCTGAATCACATTACTCAGGCTTGAAATACAGCATCTGATGATACAAGTGAGAGATTGTCAATCAATTTAAGCAGGACTTGGTCCAAGACTAAGGGGGAAAAGGACATTTAAAGAATCAAACCAGTGCAAATGTATCAATTCGGTTAAGAAAAGCAAATGATTGTTTATACATTTGATACATAGTCTTAAGTTTAATTCATAGTTCATTTCCTCCCTTGTCAAAGTTGTCATGGATTTGCAACACCACAAAGTAATCCCAAAATTCAATAGTTCAGAGAATTTACCATCTGCATATCCATTATGAGTCTCCTAAAGCTGTCTCAGACCACAGTTTGATCAATAGCAGCACACAATGAATCTGTCCAATCATCAATTTTCACACTTTCTGGTGCAAATACCACAGACACCAAAGTGTATTTAAATTATGTGGAAATGTGACCGTAATAATTAATACTTAAGTATTAAGTATTATTATCCCAAAGTGATGTATTATGTCAAATTGGTGCGGCTAGCATATTCCACCTAGAAACACGCCTGAAAACTATCACTTTGTTCTTCATTCCTTGAGAACAAAAATCTACACACACAGACACACACTCACCTATCTTTTGAAGAAAATCAGTGAAGTATATAATACATAAATAAAGGTGAAAGGAAATAAAGTAACATAACTATTCTCTATCATAATATACCATGGCTGAATATGCAACAGTCTCTTTTTAAACTAAACTAAACTAAACACCTGCTAAGAATGATCCATGGCAACAAGGAACTACATGTTTTCATAAAACTAAATATTTTTCATAAGCATATCTTTCATAACATATGCCATGTGTACAAAAGTGTGCCACAGAATAGTTAAAGGAACAAAAACAATATGTGGCTACAACAGGGTTGCATTCAAATCACACATGAATATTGACTTAGCTGATGGTCATCCTTAATGGATAATAATATATGAAACATGACAAAATAAAAAATAGCTATGAATACTTACAAAGATAAAATACAAAAACCTACAAAATACACATTCTAGATCATTCCATTTAGTTTATTTCAGTATATAAAAATAACTGGAGTTTTAGGAGAACAGAAGAGGTATTCTTGCTCATCATCCCCTTGCGGAGAGTCAATTAAGCAGAGAAAATGTCACATGTTAACACTGAAACAGTAGCTATGGAAACCATTTGCTATACCTGAGTTCAGGTTCTCAGTATATACTGTAGATATTTGTCTCTACATAAAGATGGCAATTACCTGAATAAAACTACCTCCTCTGTTTACTCCTCTATATTGCTCTTTACTTTCCCATTATTACTGATATCAGCTCCCAAACATCAACTTAATGAGACAAGTTACACAGGCAATAAGGAACTGTAAAGAGACTCATGGATGGTAAGCTGGTATGACTCAAGTGAGAGTCAGTTATTCTCATATTATTTTGACACCCCTGCTCTGTGAGTTTGCAAGTGGTTTATTTTATAGTATTTGACAGACAGCAACTTAACTTCACATTCTCCCTCCACAAATAAATATACGGTCTGGTATGTATTACTGAGTTAGTGTTAGATTGGAGTTTGAGGCTGAGAGAAGGTGTGATTAAACCACAGTGTTAGACAAGATGTTAAGAGTTTGATTTAAGGCAGAAGGGTTATATCATATATGATGCATACCCTAGTCTTTCTCCATCGTACTCTCACACTTGCCTAACTAGCAACAACTGGATGAGTTTTAAATAGCTGAACAATTTTATGTGCACATTTTGTTTACACAGTCTTCACTAGTATCCTTGCATGCCTCTCAGTCTCGCTTTTTAACCTTGTCCCTTCTTCTCGCTCTCACTCACTCTGTCTTTCCCTGGGCAATCAGGGGTGAGTGATCCACATAAGCACAGTGAGAAGCATGCTAATGTAGCTTCATGAGATCACTGAAGTATAAGAGCTAAAGGTTATATCCTTCTGCGTGCATGTGCTTTCCCAAGATCTACAATGCATGCATTTTCTGTCAGCCTAAAAAATCTGAATACAGAACAGCTTCTTCATGACTGCAAGATTAATTGGAATATTAATTGGCAACGACGTTCCTCAGAGCTCACAGCTTTGCACACCACTTCTCACATCATCCATGTACAGTACTACATTTACAAGCAGAACAGAATAATTATCTGTAGGTATAGAACACAATGTGAGGACAGGCAAGGCTTTAATTAATGTTCCCTTTCATTGAGCTTTCAGTTCATGTACAGTATAATATAGGGCATAGGCTATGTTTCTCTTTTGTCACAAGCACACACTGTGACCTTGCTACGTATATATTTATTCACTTAGCTGACGCTTTTATCCAAAGTGACTTACAATTGCTATATATGTCAGAGGTTGCACGCCTCTGGAGCAACTAGGGGTTAAGTGTCTTGCTCAGGGACACATTGGTTTCTCACAGTGGATTTGAACCTGGGTCTCTTACACCCAAGGCACGTGAACACGCACTCTCTACAGCACCCACACGCACACGCACAAGAGTAAAATCTATGAGACAGAATTTGATTTTCTCTTTAATGTTCCCGTCACACTAGTGGAAGTCCTCAAGACAGATCGTAAAAATATGACATGTTTATTAAAATATAAAACTAGCCTATACTGCAACAAGAAGCACTATAAGATGACTATCAACTATAGAGAATTGCTGTCCCCAATCTATTTCTCTATTTTTCACAATCATTTCATCAAGACAGTCAAGTGGAATGAGCAGACATTCATTTATCAAAGTAAAAGTAATGGCACACAGTCAAGAGTGTCCATGGCAGATCTATTCTTTAATTCAAAGAATCAGCTATCTAGTCTAGTATCTAGTTTCTATTAATCTTTATATCATATTTTTTTTCCCTACATGTTACTGCAAGAATTCAAAGCAAAAAGAGAAAAACACATTTTACAACAACAGGTTGGGTAGAGGAGAAGAACTTCTACCACAGCGATGCAATGTTATAATTTTTTTGTCCAGCCTTTGTTTATTCATCACAGGAAATAAATAAAAGGAGCCTAGTATCAGCCACAATGTGCATGGGCTGTTCAGTTTGTTTACATATTGTCTGATGCTTACTGCACAAAATGGTGCACACAATTGCAAGCTCTGATCTGATTAGTTTGCTTTATTCAACTTCCTGTTGACAAAAATGTTCATGATTTGCTGCTTTACATGTTAGTCATATATTAGCTGCAAAGCAGACAAAAGTTTATGACGATGCTGTCAAAAGACAGCTCAAACTCAGAAGCTAATAGTCAGAAATGATGTCAGAATTAGTCAGAGTTGCTAGTAGTCAGGAATTTTGGGGAGAACGTGTGCATATTTAAAAGCCTCCTTTATGGCAAATTCAATGATCTCAGTGATGTTTAAGGGGTCATGAACTGGCTTTTTAAATGTTGTTTTATTGTTGTCTGAGGTCAACTTATGATGCTCGCTTGTTTTTTTGCATTAAAAAACATCAAAATGAATAAGTAATAGGCTATTTTCTACCCTAGTTTTGAGCCTAGCTCAAAAGCGCTCGGTTTTTATGGGCGTCTCGCATTGAAGACTTGGAAGTAAACGCCCACTGCTGTGAGTGGATAACAGTTTTGCATATTATAATGAGTTCGGTGCACGTATTTAGCAATGCGTGTAATGCGCGAATCAGTGGGCGGGGCTAAACCGACCGTGTTGAAGTAGGCGTCGATCTTCTTCTGCAGGGGTGGTGTTTTATCCTCTTTGTCGTCATTGTTCCTCACTTTGAAAAACGAGTCGTTTACTGAGCCTGGTGTCAATAAAAGCTTTTATTGGACTAACAAGGACGTTTTCAGTTCTGAAACTTACAGGATATACTTATAATATGATGGCGTCTTAGATGTCAAAAGCTCAAGGAAAATTTGATTTCTAAGTTCATCACCCCTTTAAGCAGCAACGCTTTCTCTTGTCTCCAGGCAGGCTGTTAACCGTTTACAGGCAGCTTATTGTGGCTGCCTGCCACACGGGTCACACTGAACGCACTTACACAGCCACATACAACCACAGGCACCATTATCAATTTCTTGTGGACTCTGAATTTGGCCTTCCAATGGAATGCCTACTTGGTGTATTACAGCAACTCGTTCAAAATAAAAGAAGACAGAAATGCATAGAAGGTCAAGATTAAAGAGCTCAGACTGTCAATCAATGCATACAACATGACCTCTGAATTTAACATGGGTACTTTTTTTGCATGTAAACTTAGTAAATATTAAATCTGCCACACATATAAAGTGAAACCTAAGCATAATGCTGGAATCACAACCTGTTGGCTCCAGTCACTGCGACTAAATAGCAAGACAAAAATGAGAGCGAGACAGCCAGCCAGCTCAAATGTCTATATTACTTGATGGACACTATATTACAGTAAAGTACAACCATGGAACTCAATTACACTCAAACTTGTATCGACCACATGACACCTTAGATAAGAGAGGAAATTGTTCAGCTATAAAGATTGTTTCTTAAACATATGTATACAAAGCATAAAACTTTTCACCATTTCAAGCAGAAAGAAATAATTAAATTTAAATATACATAAAATGTAAATATATATAAAATAAAATAAATTGTTTCTGTTTAATAATATTATAAACATTTTTTTTATATTTAGCGCCATAGAATATGGATAATAATGCAAAACCTCTCCTGAAAGACTGTTGTAAGAGCTTGCAATAAGATATAGCGAAATACTAAAATAAAATATTTAATAATTAAACATATTAAAAGAAAAAACATCCAACTTACCAAGTAGAAGGTGTAGAGATCAATTAATATTAAGTACATTTTCTGAAAGAGTGGAATTAAAAAGAGGGCTCCACATTATGATTCCAGTGTAAAGTCCATAAAAAGGGATTGATACAAGGACAGAATAAATGTCAAAAATAGAGTCTAAACCCACCCATTCTCCAAAGCTCCAAGCAGCTTCCACAGTAATCCAACAAGTTAAGTTGTAAAAGAAATCACTGTCAGTAGCTGATGTTCTCTATTTTATCCAAAGTTAAATAAGTCCGTAAAATCCTGACATACTCCTCAATTTCATCTTCTCATTTCAATTACTGACAAACTACAATTCATTCAAATATACAAACAATTCTCTTTTCTGCTCCATCACACACATTTGTGTCAGTGTTCCACTCCTCTATCTCTGATTCCCCAGTCTCTTCCTCCTACACTCCTCTGGCTTGTTGCTAAGAACACATCCACCCTCAGCTGTGTGTGACTGTTCACACACATTCTCCTCCTCCCTCTCCCTCTCTTCCTCACACTTCTGCTTTACTCACTCTACACTCGTCCGTCCATCTGTTTCTCTCTCTTTTCCTCCCCCTTGCGGAGGCTTGTACACACTCCACGTCTCTCCTACAACCCTTCTTCCTCTCACTATGACATCATCTTGTTGCTGTGTCTAAAATTGCTAGATGAGTTGCATCATGTGTGCAGCAAGTTTTGCAAAAAAACAGATTAGTTCACACACAAAATAAACTGCCTTTTTTTTTTACCCATCCTAATGTCATAAATGCATGACTTACTTTCTCCTCTGGAACACGAGAGGATGTTAATCTGTTGTCCATAAAATGAAAGCCAATGTTGTTTTGAACCCTCTTAACTTTGAACAAAAATTAAAAATATTTTTTGGGAGGGTTTAATTAATGGAGAAATGGGTATCTCAGCACAAAACTCAAAATGTGACAATACAAATGTTTTAGATTTGCTGAAAATTTGAGGGGGCTAATTTTTTTTAATTTTTTTTATTAAATATGGAACATGATGCATGTTGCACTTGGATATTTTTAGCACGTTTGACAACAGCAACAAATATTAATTGTTCAATTATTCAATTATTGAAGTTCATTGTAAATAATTTTGAAGCACTTTTGGAAGATTACTGAGGTCCCCGAGAGGACCTCGGTCCCCTAGTTGAGAACCACTATATACTAAGTTCATTATCGAAAGATAGCGTGTGATCAGGAGGACCCCAACATGAAGCAAAGGGGTTTTGTATCAACCTAAAGGTTTTGATTTTGTTGATAATGGTTGATTAGCTGTACAAGATCCATTACATAAGCTATTTAATTAGTATAATTTATATTGGATTATATTTACAAAAAATACATCTACAAGTTTTTACACAATTGATCAACTGACTGATCGATGCTCGATCAACTGAATAAACAAGCTACTGGATGATGTACCATTCTTCGCTTTACATCCATACTCCCTCTAGGCACATGACTTCCTCTTTGATCTTCTGATTAGAAAGACAACGTTAGAGAAGTAAAGAGTGTCAGTGCTATCCCAGGTTCTGTAGACGCTGTACAGAAATCAGCAGGAAAAGGAAGCAATGTGTGATTGGGAGGGGTGAATTTTATTGGTGACTTTCAGCCAATGTCATCCTACAGGCCTTTGATTCCTTCCAGTTAGTATTCTGTGCATACTCTCTACTCCAAGTAAGAAACTCTTCCTTATCCAATTCATTCGCTCCATTCTCTCTCTCTATCCCTTCAGCTCAGGCCCTATCTCTCTCACTCTCTATCGCTCTGATTTTCTTTGACACGTCTTCTCTCTTCCTTCTCTCTAGGGTTCTCCAGCTCTGAGGATGACTATTGTAATGGGCATAGCCATTTGAGGTCTGAAGGATATTAATGTCCGTCCGGTCTAGAATATAAATAATATATTCTGTCCTCGATTTCACAAAGAAAAAACACTGGCCTATATAAACAGACCAGTGTTCTATAGGACTCTTTGCAAACCTTATATTTTGCATATAAGAAAAAGTTTAAAAGAACTTCAGTGCAGTTTGCGAAGACACATGGAAGGCACAAATATACTAACATTGTTTCTTGTACTTTCTTTGTTAATAATAGATTTTGAAAAAGGAAAATCATGATTTAATGTCAATATTAGGAAATCATTAATCTGCCCTAATACATCGCTAAGGAGTAGTACTGACAGATCAAAGAAAATGTACCATCAAACAGTTTGTTCTTCTGTTAAAATTGTATTACATTTCAGTGATGCTCAGCCAAATGTCATCGTAGAGAAAGATGTCACACTGTTCCTTCCTTCCTTCCTTCCTTCCTTCCTGAACAATGCATTATCACTGGTGTTGTATGCACAAAAGGCATGCAGTCCGTTTTAAACCATCAAAACACAGCAGAATGATGTCTAACTAATTATTCTTGTAGTTATTGATTCGGCCATTAGAACAAAGTCATTCATCAAAGTAAGAAAAAAAACAGCTTCAACTCCACAGGGAAAAGCATGTGCACCGTTACTAGATACCTCACCATTTCAAGTGTGTTTAAAGGGATAGTTTAGGCAAAAAACTAAATTCCATCATCACTTACTCACCCTCAAGTTCCAAACCTGTATGAATTTATTTCTTCTGCTAAACACAAAATAAGATGTTGGTAACCAAACAGTTGACCGCATTGACTACCATAGTATTTTTTTTCCATACTACATAAAGAACAAAAGCTGCCTAAACTAGCATTTGCAATAATCTCGTCATGTAGTGCTTGATAAAACAATCAAAGATATGTACATAAAGAATATGTTAAACAGGTTTAAAATCTAAGGTTACTCGAACAAAATTTGATTAAGAACACGTCATGGAAGATCACATGATCATAAACAGCTACATTTCTAAATTTAATTAACCATGTCATGTTCCCTTTACTAACGGTTTTGTGGAAGGGGCATTTTTGACAAGGAAATGCACTTTATTTTCTACTAGAGCACATTTAAAACAGCCACTGCTGACCAAAGTGCTGTACAATCAATTTAGACACAGGATTCTTAAAAATCCATTGAACCATAAACCAGAGAGAAAAAAAAGAAGTCTTCGGTGAGGATTATTGGGGGAAGTCATTTGCTAACTCCTTATGGAATGACCCTTCAAGTATCATTTCCTTCCCATAGTGGCTTTTAAGTGAGTAAAAATGTGTTTAGTTCATATTGCAGTTGAACTTTTTCCTTCCAGTTTCTTAAACTAATCGCAGGGTCTCACTCTGATAACCTCAGTTTAAGGAAGTTTGCTTTGGAAACACTAAAATGAAACTTATGCAACAATGAAAAAAAGTGTCCGCATAGTTTTCAAATGCAATTTAAAGCTGCATTGACACCATTCATGCTCTACAACCTACAACATATGCATCCTACCCTTCCACAAAATCTTGACCACTGCAGGCATAGTGACTTCAAGTCACCACTTTGAACCTTTTTTCCTTAAAAAAAATGCTGGGTATTAATATTACCACAACAACCAGTGACTAATTCAGTTTTCATATTCAGTTTAATGAGCAATAAAAGCTTAAGTCTGGATAATATTCTTGCCAATCTCTTTAGTTCTGACTAAAAAAAATAATCCTGCCTGTATGAAATCACCTGTATAAAACACTATGTCTAAGAGTAGTTAATAAGAGGTTTAACTTGTTCTCAAGACATGACAGCAATTTAAACAAGCATTTCATGTCATGTCTACAAGAGGAATGTAGTATGATTAATGTTTTTGACTGGATTGAGTTAAACTACATGAAATATGCATATAAAAGGAGTGCAAGAATCAAGGTTGTGTTTCCATAGTAATGTCACTTAGTTGCCATGGTAAATTATTTCTTGTTGAGATAAAATGACTATTTTAAACAAAGAACTATCCAGCCATTTGGATATCATATAATCTGTCTTGCCTGTCTCCAACACTTGGCTTTCAGAAACAACCATAAATGTACACATAACATGCTAAAGGAAACCCCCCGCACTTCAGATCCTTTAATAAAGAAATTGTACAAACACAATATTTAAGCTGTCAGCAGAAAAACAGTGATCATTTAAAGATGCCTTTCCTGCTCAACACTTTCCCTGTCACAGCCTTTGTCTCAATCGAACAATCGCCCATCACCACGATCCCTCCCTCTAGCAGCTGCATGCATCGGAAGACACAGCTGCTAAGGGCAGATTGCAAATATCAATGTAGACCACAGACTAAAGTTTTATGAGAATCATGAGAACAAAAAAAAGTTTTACTGTCAGTTCGAATGGAGGACTTGCATCATCTAAGCAGTGCAATAAAACTTACACTTGTCTGAAGAATCCAATATACAATACTTTTTTTTAACCAGATATAATACAAATATCCACTTTAAGAAAAATCCAACAATCCAAAAACCATGTGAGCTCCCAACTTTGTTTGATCATTTTTGTGGGTAGAAATGCATTACATTTGATTAATTACTGAATTATCCAAAACAAAGCTAAATTAGTAGGGTAAATATTATCTCTTGTTGGATAGGTTTATATTCATTAAAGGACAAGTTTGGTATTTTACAATTAAAGTCCTGTTTTAAGATCCGGTCATTCCACCTCTGGAAAGATGAATGTTTATTTAAAATGGGTTATTTATGTAGAAGAAATGTGAAATTATTTTTGAATTTGGAGCTTTCTAGAATGAGAAATGTGTGCATTACAGTTTTTACAAAAACTTTACAAAAATGGTACATACCTGTTTCTTTTCTCCTGTAAATTTAGACCACTCAAAAAGAACATCATTAAAAAAAACATCATTAAAAAAAACTAAAATCAATGTCATTTTTTAATTCCCAATGGTGGCCACTGAATTTGTCATATGGGAATCTTAAGTCAACCAAACAGAAGGGCAGTGTACTAGCAAGGGTTCAGTTTAGATAAACATCAACAGTGAATGGAGGAAAAGGCAAAAAACAAGAATAATTCATTTTCCACCATTTAAAAAGGTGATTTGTTCCTCTCCCACTTACCTCATGCAGCTTCACTCTTACTTTATTGATGGCCTTCAACCAGTTTAGACGGGAAGGAGAGAAAGGAGGTGGGCCATCCTCAAAGAAACTAAAAAAAAAGACACATAATGACATTAGACCTAGTGGCTAAAATCACTTGCTGGAACTACACTTTCGGCCCATTTCCTATAAAGAGTATATTATATATTTACATGCATATAATTTGGTAACTTAACTTTGTCACCTTTTAAAAGTATACTAGCATACATATGGTCTTAAAACTAGACATGACCTATGGAACAAACCTAGAATTGACCATTCCTTTATTCACATCTATTCGGTGTGTAACACATACAGTACCTTTGCTGCCTCTCAGGTTTTCTCCCTTGATTAGAAACAGGTTTTGGCGTACTTTCCCCTTGTACTTCTTTCTCCACATTTGCTAGTATCTCCCTTTCCC